CAGATGCCCATACAGAAAGGCTGCTGATTATTACTGCCTCACCGGACCAATATATACAGGTTTCATCAATATGTACAGTCTATAGCAATGGAGAAACATGGTGGCAGGGAAATATGGAGGCTTCTGTAAGGTCACATGGCAGCAGGTAGATATTTTCATTTTACAGACACAGACATAGGAGCTTTTTCTACAAAAGCCTTATTTACTAACTCTGGCAATCTGCACGAGTGACACACAGTCCCTAAACCCATTTTTCAGAGTAAACACCTGTGGCGCTTGCCATCTCAGTCAATTGGAAAGGTTCAACCAAAAGCAGCACTCTTCCAGGAAAACAAATGTGACATTTGCACAAGCCTCTTGAGTATGACTTAATACCACCAATTCACTGCAACTCAGAATAAAAAGCCCAGCCCACAATAATGTCTGTACAGCTGGGAATAAATAAGTTTATAACATATATATGTATATTATGTATACATATTTAACCCTTGAAAACCAACCCCGCTTATGCAGGAGGGAAGCTTGTTACCTTTACATTTGTTGACAAACCTTTCTGCTCCACAGACATAAAGTATTTATCATTCTCAAATTGTCTGATTAGTATAATTAGACTAATTCCAGCATAGCCATTGCCAATGTGTATCTTACAAACTGTTGCTGTGTTTCTGATCTGAGAACTTTATGTGCCTGAACAACATCAACCAGTCTTCAAGAGAATGTTGCTTCATTAAAAAACAAAACAAAAAAACAAACAAACAAACAAAAAAACATATTGTAAGTAAATGCCTGGGAAGTAGTAGCTAAGTATCACAAACCCTGTGAAGGAGGATGCCAACATATGAAAAAAAAAAAAAAGAAATTAAAATTAAAGTTCTCCAAAATAGTCTCACTTATTTGGTTGCCTCATTGGCTGAGAAACAGAACACCTAAAATTTCATAATACTTAACCAATTTTATGGGGCAGTATATATCAGTTAAAACATACAAATAATATCCAGGCTATCTTGCAAAACACTACTATTAAACAAATCAAATAAATATTATCTCCATGTTATGAATGACAAAGCTGAAACAAAAGCAGTAAATAACTTGGTCAACAGAGCAGGCTGAGCTTGGAGTACAGAAGGACCCAAGCTCCAGGCAACCTGACTCAGAATCCCTTTCCTGAGTGTGTTGCTTTACTGCAGTGACAGCTCCCAAATTACTTCTGTTACAGTTGTTAACACATCTAAAAAGATGTACATCTAAAAAGAGGTACATCTAAAAAGATGGCAGGCCCTCCATGTTTCGATTTGCAAAATGACAGAGCAGAGGCCATCTGTTTTCTTCATGGTGACACTCACTAATATTTTTTAAGCAACTCATCCAGACCACAGCAGGAAATTTAAAGGCAGAGGTGGATCTAATTTCTTGGAAGGCATTTATTTACCTGCTCAAATAACAAGACGATCTCCAGGCAGGACCTTGGTTCAAATGTTGCCTAGCTTCCTCAGAACACACCAGAAGGAGGCAAAGGTCTGCAGAGCAGAGGTTTTACTCTATAAATAGCACATTTTACTCCCTTCAAGAATCCAGTGTTCTTCCAGTATGATCCATATGATATATACTGTATACAACAACTGTTCCAGAATGATTGATTACAAATCTCATGTAATTCTTAGTCCCTGCATAGAGTAGTAATAATCATGTTTGTAAAATGTATCCTAAAGATACTTAATTTTTCTTAAGTAAATACTGAGTCACCTTTGCAGAAGTACATAGTGAAAAGCAAACTGACCTCATATTTGCAACTGGAAGTTTGTAAGTTCATCTCTGTACTTCTGTACTTACCTCATTTGATGATTATATTTTTTTTCTGAAGCACTATACGAATCTGCTTGCCTTTTTTTTTTTTTTTTTCCCTGCGTGAAATGGATTTTCTTACAAAGGTATTCAATTAATATGATTCGATTATTTACATCTACAACCTTTACAAAAAGTAACAAATCTGCTAAACACAGGAGATTGAAAAATGAGTAGATAATACAACCCTATGTTTCAGTTAAGCTCAGAAGACTAACAGCATAAAGTTTGAATAAGGCATATAAGCAAATCAAAGACAACAGTCTAGCACATTAATTCACTGCCCATAGATGTAGGCTTTTAAGTTTATTTCTTTTTATATCTCTTATGAACAATTCCACATTTAATTTTGTATACATTATATCAGAGTTTTTTGTTTTGTTTTGTTTTGTTTTGTTTTGTTGTTTTTTTTTTTTTCCCTGCTAATAGATGTATCAACTTTTCTTTTGGCTTCTTTACCTCTTCTAACAGTTGCATTTTAGCTACTTTGGAAGTATGGTACTAATTCATTTCCTAACTTTGGCAGTCAGAAATTTCAAGAGTAAGAACTATAAAGGTTCCTTGAACTAAGTTTTGTTCACCTAGATGATGAACTAATATTAATTACAGAAGCTTCTAAAACTCATGTCTTTCCACAAGTATGTATACTCATAATTGACTGGTACATCTTGCCAAAACCTTTATTTGCTTTTAAACAGGACTGCATTAGGTGAAATGAAAAATTAATCTTATTACTTAAATAAAAAGAACATTGATAAGCATTTTATGTTTCTTACAGTCTATTCCCAGCGTGCTACTTCAGTCCAAAAGGATCATTTGTTTCTTGTTGGAGCTGTTCTCTTGAGACAAAAGTAATGATTTCAGAAACTTTGCTTTAAAGGATAGTACAGTAATGATCAGTGCTCACAGTCTGGAGCTGCCAGACTTCTAACCACACACCACTTGCTGCCATTTCCAGAACATGCTGGACCACTCGCTCCCTGACCCCACCATTTTCATGGACACTCTTCCTTACTGAGTTAGTCTTGCTCTGTGCAGTGTTTAAAGTTAGGCAGTTTGAATGGAAAAATTAGAGTATTTGATCTTTTATCATCTTTGTCTTCTAATTTCCTGTGCTCTTTGAAACTCCTTTGAGTGCACATAAGAAAGGGAATTGAAGAATGGGTCAGTGTATCAAAAGCTACCATTCACAGGCTCTTCCTCTTTCTCTCCCTTCATCTCCTCCACTATTGAACTGCCATTTATTATTTTTTTTTTAGTAATATTTAATAATTGTTTTAAAAAGTCAACAGGAATCTTAAGCTCATCAACATATCACTGTTTGACTTGGCCCACACTTGCTTATTTTTACTGGGAAAGGATCTGAGCAAAGATCAGGCCTCCTACTGTGGGAGCAGTGTAACACACAGTTAGTTCTGTCTCTGTGATAATAATTATGTCTCCAATTTGGAAGACAGCTACAGTAGCTCGTCGTACACAGACACAAGCTGCAGCATATCGTTACAGTATCTGTAATCAGTATCATGTTCTTAATTATACAAATAAGCCCAGTTATACAGTAATACGCTTATTCTCATAACACAACAAAATGTGTATCATTACCCTGGGAAGAGCTCATTTACACAAGTTGTTTAATCATACCGCTGATACAATCAAGGTTGCATTAAGCTAAGCTACTGATGTTCTGCAAATAACTTACATAACCATTTTCTTATGTCCTTCTTGCTTGCCATTTTTCTAGTATTGCTATCATTATAAAAAGAAATCTGTGTTAAAATAAGTCTGCTAAAAATCTGAAGTGAATAGTTCCCAGACACATATGGATGGATCTAGTATTAACGTGGCCATGGTGAACATGAATTAATCTCCACAAAGGCTGAAAACAGGGCAAAGAAATGGTTTTAAGTAATATCTTTCTTCCAAGTGCACTGCACAATGAGAATCATGAAAAAAAAAAAGTCCTTTGCATTTCCATAGGAGAGTGTAGGCTGCAGCAATGCAAACTGTGCTTCCTCCAATGCACCAGATGCAAATTCAAAAGCAGCAAACAGGACTGAATTTCTATGCCAGTTTAAACTTTGGCTTACTTTCAGAGATGACAAATTAATGCCAACATTTTACTCATGTGGAACCCACTTATTATGTCTTGCACAGAGACCACCAGTTAATTCAGCATTTAGACATGTTTACGCCTACCCACCCGTCATTATGTTGCTACATGCGAACATTCCTGAACTTTATGGAATAATGGATGATTTAACACTAGAATAAACTGAATCAAAACCACTCATGAATAAAAATCATACCCATGCTTCACAGCTTGCTTGCTTCCTCTCAGATTTATCTTTGTTAAAAACATGAACTACTCTTCCCTATCCCCCACTATTCTCTTGCTGCTTGAAGTTTCTCAGACCATTACTAGCCTTTCCTCTTTAGTCTTTCTTCATGCTTTCCACCATCTATTTCATGACACACACAAAAATAGCTGTGGTGTAAGTATTATATATATGGAGCTCTAAAAATAAACGTCACAACTGTTTCTTTTGTAATTTTGTAGGGAGAAAAAAAAGAAAAAAAAAAACAACTATAAAATATTTAATTTTACTTGAGTTTGGGTTGATGTTTTAATCCATTTATGAAAAAGCTAAATCATATAATGATATTTTTGGAGCAAATCAATGTACTAAAACAGTATGAAATCACAGAGTACATAAATAAAACCTGTTTCTTTTTCACAGTGAAAGAAATTTTCATCTAAAATGTTTTGCCCAAATCTAGATCCATAATGACAATACCAGATGAAGATACAAACGAGATTTGTGAAGATAAGGGGTTTGCAACAGAGTAGTATTACATCTAAAAGCTGTTTTAACTATAAGGAGCTGAAGAAGTCCCCCTACAGAAAATACAAAGCTTAGTGGGGTCCTAAATCTAGTCCATTTCCCCCATGAAGAAACTGCACCCAAAGGGAAACAAACAAAACAAAACAAACAAAACAAAACAAACATACAAACAAAAAAAAAAAACAGAAAGTCAGAAACAGATCCCAAAGCAAAAACAAAAACAAAATAAACAAACAAACAAAAACAGGAAAACAAACAAAAAAGCCATAAACCAAAACCAAAACCAAACCAAAACCAAAACCAAAAAACACTTACTGTCTTCTTCAACATTTTGACGGCGTAAGGTTTCTGGGTCCCTTTCTGCCTGCATCTGTAGACAATGGATGTAGCCCCACTAAATTAAAAAAAAAAAAAGGGAAGAATAGTTGTACATATGCCTCTTTGAATATGTCAATAAACAGAGTTGCCTAGCTGAAACTATGTTTTCTAATTCTTCCAGCTTGGGCAAAAATACCTTATTTTTCCCCACAGATGCAACCAAAAGTATGGTCTAAAAACTGTTCTCTGTCAAACCAGTGAACTTCAGTGACTGATTATTCAGCCAACAGAACTGTAAGATCTCAAGGTGCCTCTTCATCATGCCTTCTATGCCTGACGTATCCTGACATCCTGGATGACTCTTTAGGGCAGCAAGAAACATAACCTGGTCCAAAATATGTGGCAACCTATCACGTCTTTTTTAAGGCAATGCATTTGCAACAATCATTAGAGGTGTTTTCTTTTTTCTTGTTGTTGTTGTTTGCCAACCATTGATGGCAGTAACAGTAACAGAGACACAAAAGAGGAAGAGAGATAAGTATTGTGCTACTTCCTTCCTGGTTGCCCAAACAGACACATAGAGCACCAGATGGACCAAGCAGCACTTCTTTTTAAGTGGGAACTGAAGGGAAAAATCAAACAAATTACAAATTACACCTTCAGGTCACCTTCAAGACTTACTTGCTTGAATGTGTTAAATGTGTGCACTCAAAGTTATGGCACTACTGGTTGGAAGACACTTTTCTGAGTGGGAGGTTGAGACCTCTCCAGAGGTCTAGGTCAGGGCAGTCTCAGCAGCTTTACTTGTTACCTTCAAGGAAGGGACCTGTACTCTATGAATTTGGTAGAGGGGAAAAAAACTCTGGCTAAACCATAACAGTTACAAAGGATTCAGATAACTTTATATTCTACCACATTTATGCTTAGATGCCCCTAAGCAACCCAGTGCCAGCCAGCAGTAAAATGGAGGCACTAAAATGCTACATCTCAGCACTGGCTTTAAGGCACTTTTGGAGCCATCAGCAGCACGGAGCACATGTACTAGAGCAAGGAAGCCTGTCCTCAGGAGATGTGCTACCCTCTGTAAGACTCACAATTCCCATTAGGTGCAGACTTTCAAGTGCTGTGGTTTAACCCCCAACAGACAGCTAAGTGCCACACAGCCACTTGATCAAACTCCCCACGTGTGATGGGGGAGAGAATCAGAAAGGAAACAGTGCAAGAACTCAAGGGTTGAGATAAAGGCAGTTCAATAAGTAAAGCAAAAGCCACATGCACAAGCAAAGCAAAACAAGGATTCATTCTCTGCTTCCCATTGGCAGGCAGGTAGTCAGCCATTCCCAGGAAAGCAAGGCTCATCAGATGGAATGGTTCCTTGGATAGACAAGCGCCATCACTACAAATATCTCTCCTTCCTCCCCACCTTCTTTCCCAGCTTTTATTGCTGACCATCATTCAATAGGGGATGGGACATCCCTTTCTTTGGTCAGTCTGTGTGAGCTGTCCTGGTTGTGTCCCCTCCCAGCTCCTGGTATACCCCCAGACTCCTCACTGGCAGGGCAGCACCAGAAACTGAAAAGTCCTTGGCTCTGTGCAAGCACTGCTCTGCAACAGCTAAACACATCAGAGGTTATCACCACTGTTTTCATCAGAAATCCAAAACACATCATCATAGAAACCTCTACAAAGAAATTATCCCAGTCAAAACCATGATATTAAGCTAGAGGGTACTGGCACTATCATACACAGCTTCCTGAAAAACATACACAGCAGAACCTCATGAAATGAAAGGATATCACATAGACCATGCAGCCAACAGCACTGCAGATCTCTTTCAGTCAGAAGAAACCCACACCAGTATAAGAGACGGCCACGAGATGCAGCATGACACAAACAGCTTGCTTTTGAACAGGGTTCAGACATGATGACTGTATGAATTAAGCTGTCCCATGGGGTTTATTATTCCGGATATGTTATTTCTATACAAAAACAGCTTCTATGCTACTGGCATGCATGCTCTGCACTTCCTTCTCCTCCATATGGGCACAGGTGCTGGGTAATGCTCTACACAGGCATGTCCAAGTGAGCACGGGAGTTGGTACCTGGCTGAGAAGATTTATTTCAGGGAAAACCTCTTCATCAGGAAAGGTCACCTGCTGTAAGGTTTATGCAGCTCAGTCATCTGAGGGCTTGTGTACATCAAACACACATAACGTAATCTTCACTTCAACTCAAATGCTAAAATGATTTGTCTCTCATAACTGTGTATTGATAAATGTGTGGGAGTACTGCAAGCCTCAGTGACTCCCAGAATCATCACATGAATTTAATTAGATCCCTCCTTGGCCAACTCTCACAAGACTTTATTTAGCAAAAAAGAAAAGAAATTAAAAATTAATGCCACATTAAAATAAAAATAAAAATAATAAAAATAAAAATAAAAATAATAAAAATAAAAATAAAAATAATAAAAATCATGTCTTAAGGACAACCAAAAATGTTGAAAGATAAAATTCTAAGGACCTGTTACGATAAAGTTTGTAACTCTAATATTTTACTCCAGCACTGTAATGGGGAATTCACTACATAAACTGCTAATCACTCCTATATGCTACTTCATATATTCAGAGTACAATATAAATATTAAACTAATTGATCTACATATGCTCTTGTTAAGTAGGCAACAAACCTTCTAAAACTGACTTGATCAGGTTGAAGGCACAGTTAGGTAAGCTTTGCAGCTGATGATCCCAACAGATAGATCATCATTTCTGCGCCCATCTCCAGGCATTCACTGCGGCTGCTGTGACTGAGGGCAATCACTGCCACTCAGTAATGCTGTTGTCAGTGTTTAATTTACTTTTTTTGTAATTTGGCTCTGCAAAGTCTTCCACAAGAATAAAACTCTGGCCACTAGTACACCCCTGATGATTTTACAGAACAGGATTCATGATGGAATGGACAGCTAAACCAGCAGTGGTGTATACTGGTGTATCGCAGGCTCAGTTCGGGAAGGATGGCATCCCGTGGGAGGGACCCCACGGGGAGCAGGGGCAGAGAGGGACCCTGAAGAGGCAGTGGAGACGAAGCATCAGCGACTGATCCTTCCCCTGTGCTGCTCAAGTGTAGGAGGAAGGAAAAGATGGGTGGGGAGAAGTTTCTTTTTTTTTTTTTTTTTTTTGTCTTCACTGCACTAGCCTTTTATTAATTGACAATAAATCACATTAATCTTCCCAAAGCTGACTTTTGCCCATGATGGTAACTGACGAGTAATCTTCTTGGCCCTCTCTCAGCCCAAGAGGTGTTGTTTTGTTTGTTTGTTTGTTTGTTTTTCTCATCATATTTTCTCCCCTTTTTCTGTTGAGGAGGGGAAGTGAGAAAGCTGCATGGTGGTGCTGAGCTATCTACCAGTGTGAAACCACTGTAGGGTGGCACAGCACTGCCTTTAACAGTTCATTCAAATGTACCCAAAGCCAGGGGAGTGTCGGCATAATCTTTGAGAGGCAAATAACAGCACTAAGAAACAGATACTTAAGAAGGCATGTCCAGGTAAGCAGCTTGCCTTCAGTCTTTTTAGTTACTTTTAATAACACACAGAAGGGAAGAGTTTAGAAATTACGCCCTGTTGTAACGATTTCTGACAGCATGTCTCTGGAGTTCTAATCTGGGGAAAAAATAGCAAGATACGACAAGACTTGGGAACGGTTTTAGAGAGATCTCCTCTGGTTTATGTGCCTATGCTGTTCCAAGGAAGAGGTCACTGAGCTAATGGCTGACACCACCTTCCTCCTCCATGCCAGAAACCAGCACCAACAGTCAGGAACAGGATTTCACCACACCTGGTGCAAATCTTAGCAGACAACTGTTACTACTACAGACCTTACTCCTTGTCTCATTGGTGATAAATTGCCCTCCTTGCTTCTTCCCATTAAAACAAAACAAAACAAAACAAACAAAAAAAAGGTATGGGGAAGGGGAGAAAGCAGCTGGCAAAACTTAATAGAAACGTGCAAACAGAACTGTCTTGTGTAGAGTAGTGGATTTTACTTTGCTTGTTTTGGCTTCCTACACAGTGAGCCTTTTGCTGAATCAGCACATGTAGTTTTCCAGAGACTGTATGATTTAGGAGGTCACCACTGGGAGGTCACCAGTATAATCAGAGTGATTCAAGGCTCCATTACCCGGAGGAATGGGGAGCTTCAGTGGCAAAAACCTCATGTGCATCTGAAGAGCTGAGAGCTGGTAACAGGAGAAGTCTCTTGCTCTCATCTTGAGCTCTTCAGCATCAAACCGTGACTGCAAATAATAACACCCTCAGAAGCTGGTCTGGAATTCATATCAACTAAACATTTTGTTGATGTTTTTGGTCAGGAAGCAGAAATATGTAGAAAACAAAAATTATTGTGGCAACATATATGCCACTTTCTGTAAGTATGTTCCACTATATCTGAATGATAAACGTTAATAGTGATACCATAACTATCATGCCAGCAGATACCAAAACTACAGAATATTTAATCCAACAGCATGAGCAGTTTCAACAGAAGAAACTGAGAGGGCCCTAAACCCAAGCAGCTAATAACCATTTGCAGATGTATATTGCAGTGTGTGATTGACAATGAATCCATTTCCAATTCAGGCTAGAGACCAGAAATTAAGCACCCCATACACCAGATGAATCCAACCACAAAAGTACTCACTATATAGCTTCACATATTCCTAACAACCCTTCCCTCTTCGTAGCTTGCAAATACGTACATACATATCTCTATGTATACAAGGTATATATACACTTACAATTATATGAAGTATATTTCTGTGGTTGAACGTGTATTTGTTTACTTTTATAGAAAATTATGTTTAGAGGAATACCTGGTTACTACCTTTTTCCTTGTAACTCTCTTCTCTGTACCTATCAGGCTGCCTGAATTCAGAGCATAAGTTATTTGAAGTTGGCTGGAACAATAAGAAAAAAGGCATACTCTTGGAATATTTAGCTCACCAAATTAGAGAACAGTAAAAGTTAGAATTCCTACATTGTTGAAAACATCAGCAATCTCTTTTACTGACATACGT